AAATTTTCAGCCCCCATAATTTTTTAAGGAACCATTTAGCAGTTTTAATTTCCATTTTCGTAAAAAGCATTCAAAACTCTATCGATTTATCTGGGTCTCCATTTAAAGTCCCACGGTAAGTAGACTACCCCTCCTTGGCTAGTTCGATTTCTTCACTTTTTTATTTGGCGAATTAACTACTTTTTCTTCCCTTCCCAACTGGTTTACCGTATTACTTTCCGTGAGACTTACTTCAGTAGTGTAGAGCCGAATCTACTTAACAAGGTAGGGGCTCGAATTGATGAATCCGATAAAAGTCAAAATGGCAGCAAGGATCGAACTTTGATGGACACAGGATCAGCCATATCGTTGTCACGTCAGAGAAGAACTTCATCCTGGCAGCAGCCTTGGATAACCTTCGAAAATATCCCTCTCAATGTTGGCGTTTTGCTTCTCCTACACTTCTTGGTTATCACCAGTACAATTTACCATGACTATGAAACTCGGAATGATATAGCGCATTCAGTAAAGTCGGTATCATTTTCTAGCTGGCTGATCCTACTATCTGGAAAACGCTTTAAACTCAACGACGGGTGCTAGAGCAGATCACAAAAGGCCTCATGCCCCAGAAGGTCGACGGATTAGAAGGAAGTTGTATTACAGGAATCGTTCTTTATTTTTGAATCTGTCGTCGTGATGGTCGCCGAATTTTAATACGGAGCGGCATCTAAAAGCTTTCAGTGCATTTTGAAAATAAGCAGTGCTAGAATTTCTGATTGATTTGCAGATTCTCTGACAAATTCTATGATGCCGTATGAGCTTACATTTGACCAACCTAGAACGTTGAAAATATTTATTGCTATGTAATTTATTTTATTGTTTTTACATTAATTTTTCTCAATAGAACTCGGATAATACATTAATTGAAACCGTTCAGTAGAGGTATTCGGAAAGTAAAGCACCAGCAGAGCTGGCGTTAGAGGCACGACTACAGTAGGGTGGCGAGTACATAGGATGCTTGAAAGGTGTTAATGAAAATGAAAAAATTAGGCCTTAAAGGCACAGATCACGATAATTTCTGGGGGTCTAGTTTCAGAAGAACAATGGAAGTGCCCAAAATAGTGCAAAAATTAAAGCAAAAGAAAAAAAGACGAAAACCGGCACATTCAAAGAAATACGAGTCCTCGAAAAAAGAGAAAAATTGAGGTTTGGGAGGAGATGTGACAATAGAAGTTGTATAAAATGGTTATTCAGAAAAACTGCCCAAATACTGGCGCCATCGCGACCAGCTGGCTACAAAAAGCTGCCTGTTTGCAACGTATGAAGCCCGGTGCGAGTGGTGCAACCTCTGCAGCCCAAACCTCTACATTCTCTACGACGTCGTGAGAACTCGTTTGCCTTTGGGTGTGTACGTTGGCTAAGCCAGTTTTAGTAGCCCTTACTAATCCTATCTAAACCGTTTTCGACCCGATAACGTCCCTTGTGCTATTCTTGGCGGTCACAGTTTCACCCTATGGAGAAATCTCAGACGCCATTTTTGTCGTAAGCTGTGCTTTCAAGACGCTAAGTAGAACTTGTTAAGACAAACCATGCGTTATGTGCAAACCTGTGTCTGGTTCTGTTATCTACAGAAAGGTAGTTTTCAAGAGTTCAATTTCGAAAACTTGAATACTGCCCATACACCCTTCCATCTGGATATACCCAATAGTATTGTTGGCGTTGAGGTTGGAGTTGTGCTTGTGGTGTTTGTGACCAATACCATTGCGTTGTGGGCGGTACATTTTGATACTCCTGATAAGTTGACCGTTGTCGATATCCAGGCCAATAATATCGCTCTGACCCACTCGAGTCGTATTCTTCTGGATATTGATTGTAGGGGAAGTAGGAGTATCGGGTTTGAAGTGGTCGGTAAGAATTATATTGAGTATCGGGTATGTATTCGGAACGATAGTTTGTAGAGCGACTAGGATACGTCAAAAAGTATTGGCGGTCGGATGCAGAATCTCTAGTTATCGGTCGGTAGTTGACATCATTTGTGAATGTAGCTGATCTGTCGTATTTTAGGAGTGCTCGCTGAAGCTGATCCTGCGAGGGCGCGTTGAACAGTGCGAACGGAGCCAGAGCTGGAGTGAGAAAACGGCCGAGGAGGTCCGAGATGCGCTGAAAGTAACATGCAATACGGAATGGTTCCAATGATAAATTTAATAGGAAAATCTTTAGTGGGGCATGTGATGATTCGCAGTTTGTTGTGGACAGGAAGTGATAACTACCGGTTCATAAAAGTTGATAAGGAGCATTCAAAGTGCGAGCCTCGTTTCTGCATGAGGAATTGAGTTGTTTAGAACAATAAACTAAAACAGTTCTTGAACGCGATACTCGAATTGAGAGGGCACTGTAGGAAAAGGTGAGACAAAATAATAGCCACTAATAAGATTCATAAGAGGCGTTGAGGGATTACATTAGTGAAATCGGTGCGGCACTCTTGGCAAAACGCTCGCTCTCACGTATGCCGCAATACATTAGACGGAGGTGCAAATGATCAGCAGCAGGAAAATTGCATCAAAGGCTGAGGTGCGGTGAGGTCCCACACATCTGCAGATTCCGCTATGAAGTATGGTAACACAGCATAAATAAAACAGGGATTGAGAAGGGGTGTGGCGCAAGAGGGTTGAAATCGCCGCGTCGCGGCGAGAGAGACTCCGCGCGCGAAGAAATGTAGCAGAATGCAGGAGCAAGTGAGAGGAACGAAAGAACTAACAATAGAATTATGCTGGAAGTAATAACCGCGTAGCGATTGAGCTGTGTGAAGAACGCTAGAACTGTTGTAACGAGGCAAATGGTCCGCGACAGCCGCGTGCGGAGGATCGACTACACAAAACCGTTCCTACTGCTCGTCTCCCATTGAGAAGCAGTCGTAGCTGTTCTAGCGAGCTTCTCGTAAAGGATGGGGATTAACTTTGGCAAATTGTCAAACTTAAAGGGTGATGACATAATGATAAATAATGATAGTTGAAGGTGAGAGGTTCCAATAACATCGGTAAATCAGACACGAATTTACATCATATATACATCGAGTTCGTATTTGCTTCGATTACACTATGATTAGAACCCACAAATGCTAATGAGTGAATGACGAAACATTTGATCCGTTTCCATATCGATACTAGGAACATTCAAGGGCTACTTGATTTCCCGAAAAGGGATGGATAACCATGAAGACAAGATTGCCGATAGGCAATGACTGTTTCATCACTGATAGTGTCTAGATCTACTTTTCCTAACAGTTCCACCTATATTTTCGAGCCGGGAGACAGCTAGTTAAAAAGGTTCCATGTAGTCCATTCGCCGCGCGCGGCAGTCGCGGACTAGTTACCTCGTTGCTGCAGTTTTTAAAGGACAGTAGAACAATATGTACAGTAGAATACAGTAGAATAGAATATATATAGAATAGAATAGTAACAAAGTAACAATATAAAGTATAAGAGTTTCATACCATTCGAAGGTAGTATAAAGTAATTACCAGAACGAGATATTAGCTTACATACGTTTTCAGGGGTAACGGAACTTCTCCCCTGTCGCGGCATTCTCCCTTGCGGCATGCGGCAAATGTCACTGCAATTACCGTACTCATCCCGCTTCCCGCCAATCGATAGGACGCGATATTTTTCCTTGACTGGCTTGCTTTTTCATTGGATTTTATCATTTTTTCGTCTGTTTCTTTTTAGTTTTCATGTTTATTAGACTTGATTAATTAAAATGACTCCTCCTGTATAAACGGCGATCAAGACCGCATTGGAATGGAAAAGAGCGGCCAGCCAATTCAAATAATTAAAGGACTCCCTACTCCACGAATTGCGCGCTCCAATCTTCCATCGCAATCCTGCGATAGGCGGCGGGTGCGGCGTGTGCGACGCCGTGTTAGGGGAGAAGTTCCCGGACTCCGTTTTCAGCTGCGCAATGCCTTTGTAATGTAAATGGTCACATTTATGGGCTGATATCATCGTACTTCACTATAGCATTCACTTCCCCACTCTTGTAATCCTCTTTTTCGTTAACTTTTTCTTCATTAATGACAATATGTAAGTGTTTGCACCTAATTAAGGAGCGAGGTGACCTCCCGTGACATCCCCAGATGCCATACCCTCAACGAAGACATAAGATTCAGGTCGAATAGAATAACATGAAGACATACCTCTCTAATCTTAGGGTAACTGATGCGCATGTTCTTCTCCAATAGGAGAACGGTACCATTGAACTGCAACAAATCGATTGACTGACAGTGGCGGTACTTTCAAATTTCCAGTAAAAGCAACAGTTGAAGAATGTTCGAAATAAAGTTAACCGAAGTATCTTGGTGCCTCATAAACACTTTCCTGTTCCAGAGTTTCCATTTATTCTTCTGATTATTGGTCTTCTTCACTGATCGTTGGATCACTTTGGTTTCTCTAATTTTCAAAGTTTGTGATCACGTTTTTTTTTCGATTTCTTCCGGATAAAGCTGAAAAAGTTGCAAAACAGGGACGCTTTTTTTCACTAGAATCTTTCCTCTTCAAGTCCTCAAATTTCGGCCGAGTTTTCCGAAATGACCGGATTGTCGTGATAGAGTAAAAGTGGCGTCAACTGCTACTTGTTTTTCGGACACTTCATAAAAGTGAGGACAGATATCGGAAAGTACATTTTTAGGACTTTTTTCACTTCACTGTGTCGCTTTCTTACACGTGACCCAAGTGGTTTAGACCTACATGATTAATCGTCGATGAATTCATGCAATATCGCAAGTTGACCTTATCGCAATTTGTGCACTTCCTATTGCGGGTACTGTATCTTTCTGAGGAGGGACTACGCCCTGAATCATTCGAAAAACTCTTCCAAAGGGTTTCCCACTGCGTGACAGCTTTTCACCTGTTTATACACAGAGTTGGTGTGGTTGAAAGCAAGAGATGGGGATGTGCTATCTTTTATATTGACTAAGATTAATTTGCTTTTTCATCTACAACTTTCAAAATTAAATCTAAGCAAATACGACGCACTTCCTCTTGTAGCTCTGGGTTGTTTTGCTTTATCTCTTTTTCAACAGGAATCATTCGTAGAACCAGTCTCACAAGACGCGTTCGAATCTGAAATCAAAGATTTGTAATAGGTAATGATTTCCACTCATTACGCTTAGTTAGTAGGCAGTAATTACACCATTCGAAATCTTTTTTAAGGGTTGAGAACTATTTCAGTTTCAAGTCGAATGTATGTACTCACTATATTTTTTTATTGTACTGTACTCACTATGTTTTTTTGCAATACTTCATATGTTTACGGTACTTTCAACACAATTTAGAGAGATGCCATTGTGACCAGAAGAGCTGCAGCTAACAGAGGATGACAAGCTTCTTAGGTTTATTTGCGCGGCCTAATCTACCCTCAGCATATGGTTTTGCGCTAATCTCTCTCTTAAAGGTACAGTTCACGATAATTTTGGGTAATACAGATAATGATGAAAAATGGACGATAAGATGGAAAATAGTGTGATGAAAGTTAAGTGACTGCGTGAATTGGTGTTTCCAAAGTGAAAAAATGCTTCAAAAAAACCGGTAAAAAGGGGGCTGGACGAGTTGCGTACGTGTGGGTCCTGTGCGAATAACAGACTATGGTGAGCAAAAGCATTCACTTATAAGCATAAGTAAACAAAAAAACCCTAGTAACAGCAAAAAAAGCCCACCTTTTTCAGCCTCTAGGAGTAGGAAATCAAATAAGGGATCGTGACAGCAAAAAGAATAACAGAGGAAAAAAGAATGGAGAAAAACATCGCCTCATCCTCGGCGATCAGCTGATTGTGTGTGGGTCCTAGAACGAATAGTTGCAAACTGCATTGTCTCGACACTCGTCTAACGTGACATCGATCGAGGGCGTTAAAGCCAATTACGGTAGCAACCAACAAGGCTTCCACTATGCCCTAGCGCCGAGATTGTGGGAGCGAGAGGCCCCCTTCTTCCACCCACGGGGGCGCTGAGTATGAAGAACTCAGTAACCTGAACTGAGCCTTTGAGCTGAGTCATCAAGTTCTCAATTGTTTGTTGGTCTTTTGATTGACCCTTTATCAACGATCACCACATCCTATAGGAGTTTAGCCCTCATATGGTTTCACACCTTATTGAGTCGCATGTTTTTCCTCCGAACGTGCATAAACTGCTGAGGTCATTTAGTGCACTAGCATCTGAATGTGAACGGAGTATGTTGAACAACTTTCAGTTAAAGGCACAGTTCACGAAAAAGTGGTTTCGGAGATTTCCACATGGTTTGAATTCGAAGCCCCCTCTGATACCATTTGTGCAGGAATGAGGTCGGAAAACGGTCTGGACAGGCACAATAAGGGCAGGAACAGTGGGGGACGAGAGGCCTCCGCCCCTCGCTAGGTTGACTACGAGTTCAAGTTGTCCTTCACCACTTTCGCATTGGAGCAACATTAGTGAAAAATCGATAGGCTGGTTGGCAAATTGCCCACAGACGGTCAGCTGGTCGACCGTCTCGTATTGGGACTACTATTAGGCTGATTCTCTAGTATTCGACTATATTCTACGCTTTTCTATTCTAATTAATTTTTCCCAGCCGTCGTCAAAAGGTCGAAATTGATACTGCATAATAAATCAGATTAATAGCGGTAGGAGAATTAGTTTTAATGAATAAGCCAAAATCAGCTGTTGGTGTGTTGTGTGCAATGGCAGACACTGCGTCGCNCAGGAACAGTGGGGGACGAGAGGCCTCCGCCCCTCGCTAGGTTGACTACGAGTTCAAGTTGTCCTTCACCACTTTCGCATTGGAGCAACATTAGTGAAAAATCGATAGGCTGGTTGGCAAATTGCCCACAGACGGTCAGCTGGTCGACCGTCTCGTATTGGGACTACTATTAGGCTGATTCTCTAGTATTCGACTATATTCTACGCTTTTCTATTCTAATTAATTTTTCCCAGCCGTCGTCAAAAGGTCGAAATTGATACTGCATAATAAATCAGATTAATAGCGGTAGGAGAATTAGTTTTAATGAATAAGCCAAAATCAGCTGTTGGTGTGTTGTGTGCAATGGCAGACACTGCGTCGCATTTGTCTGACTTGCCCGAAAAATTCTTATCACCGTTTTTTCGCCATTTAGCTCGTCCGACCCCCCTTTTCCCTTGTTTTTTGTAGCTCTCTATTTCTTCATATTCATCTTTTTCGCGTTTTCTCTTTTACCATTGTACTATTGTGGGCCGTATCTAGCATTTTTTGTCAAATTTCGCCAAAAAACGGGATACCCCAAAATTAACGTGAGCTGTGCTTTTAAACTAATTGCAGTTACAGTCCTCACACTTATTAGCTACTAGACGATTTGCGCTCTGTTAGCGGACTGGTTATGACGGTTTCTGTGCGAGATTTCTATAATCCAGTTATAGTTATCTGGAATCAGCCTTATTGTTTTGCATTTTGAGGCTACCTTCTGTACTTTCTTTGAGAGGAAGGGTTTTTCTTACTGTGTCCGAAACGGCACTATTATCTCTTACAAGTGTTTCAAGTATCCATCACTCTGGGAACTCCTCAGCGCTACCATGAAATTTCGGTAGTGACACTTGCGGAGTCTTCACTGGGCACTGGGGAACAATCCACGGCGAGCTTGTTTGCGCCATATTCCCCCCCCCCCCTCTCCTGCCGTGATGTTTGATGGGATGCTATTGTCCGAACTAGTTTCGGTACTGTCCCCTTCCATGTTAACCTCTGGGTTTACACTTACATTTCCCTTCCGTCTACATCAATAGCTTGCAAGTTCTGATCTGTGGGCAATGTAGTCTAGCTCAACTGCCACCCGGTCTTGAGCACATCTCTCGCGATATACTCGTGCCTACCGTGCCTGGGCATATTACCGATTTCGTCCGCGTCGGTCATTATCTAATAGATGTTATATTCCTTATTCTTGCATGATTTGCATTCTTCCTTATTTCATTATAACGTTTCTCTAGCTTTTCTTCCTTCTTTTTAGGTGCGCTAATGCCTCTTCGGAGAAACGCAATAGTGGAACCACATTTTTCATAGGATTCCTGATCTGCACTGGGTATTCGGCTCTAGAGGTGTAGGCTCTTTGGGTTGCCAGCTTCAGATGAAGGGCTTTCTACAAAGGAGTAGTGTCTCTTGTGCTCTAGATAACCCTTGTTATATATCGTTTCTTGAAACTTATGATAGATTTTCCTTCGCTCTATCAATGATACAGAACCCCGTTTGACTCTGTTAAATTTAATCGACATAGGTAAACAAATTTTGTTTTGCTTCTTATAAAGTTCGGCTTAATTATCACTGCACCAAACCTAATATGTTGGTGTTTCTTTTGATGTTTGACTTATTTTAGCCGATGCACCAGAAATGTGGGGATGATTAAGTCTTTTTCAATGGCTCCGAAGTTAGCTGCGTAAAAGTCCAACAAATAAAATGTATGTGCGAATATTACCACTATCAAAACACAGAATAATTGCAAATAAGTCTTTATCTAATAGGACACGCAACCTACGGCTTGCCCCTGACGCTTTCAAAGAAAGAAGTGAGGATCATGCCTCTTGGTGGTCCCATTTGACTCTTCGTATCAAATATGGCGTCCTTAGCCTAGAATGTCGTCACAGACTGTGAGCTGTGAGAGCGTCGGAGTATTGGGATCGTCGACTCACTTAGACGACGATAGAAGTGACCTCATCTTAGAGAGCGCAGACATGAAGGGAATCGTTAGATTTGTTGAGTTACCCATTCTCCTTGTTTCCTGATCAGGAAAATGAGTACTTTAAAATGAACCCTCGAGAGCGCGACCAGGTGAATGCACGATTCAAACATTCACTCGAGTGTTATGTACCTAGTCTTACAAACAGCCGTTACAGTGACAACTAAATGCGCTCACCTTAGGTGTGTATTTGTTGTGGGAGACGGTAAAGTTCCGGATGAGATCATTGGCTTCATCAGTTATTTCGTCCATTTTTGTATCGAGTGGTATGTCGGACTGGGCCTCACCCACCACCATTAAGGCAAACAGCAGATAGATGATCATAGCTCTGAAACTATGAAGCAGATTGTGTATTACAACGCGATTATGAGCAGCTTGTGAGAGGATGTCGAGGATTCAAATGTAGCGCGTTCGAAAGAAAACGGTGATGTAGTTTTTATAGGTCAGTCGGTGAACCATTCGAAGTCCTTTCCCGCTGCGAAACTTGGCCTAGTTAAGAGAAAAGTGAGGATTTTGATGGTGACACTTTATGGATAGTTAGTAAGTGGTGAAAGTATGACACAGAAGTATTACCAAACGTTTCCAAAATGATTGCCGAGTTGTTGAAGTTCCATGACCGGTTTTCTGTGTTGGGGTTACTCACTCTGAGGGGGAGAGGCAATTTTGTGAAAAGGGGCAGGCAGTAGCTGCTGACGATAACAGAGTCGTTGAGAATGGAACACGAAAATGAAACATGACTAAAGGCAAATATGATGTCATGCATTTAAGGGTACCCTGTAGCTGCCAAGCTCTTCGTGAAAACCTTCTATTCGGACATGCTGTAGGGGAATGAATGGAAGGAAGTGAAAATTTCTACAACGGAGCGAATTCTCTGCAATGATCATGAAATCACGCGATACCGTACACAATAGGTAGATTACCATGAGTGCTGGTGCAGTCGGATATGTCGAAGTCAATCATGGTCAATGTGGGAGTCACGGTTTCAATAGGTACGTAAAGAAGTGGAAATGGTTTTCAACAGTAGCTTTGAGTAGGAGTAGTCAATATGAATCTTTTCATGTCCTTTTACTCGAGTTATTTTCATTTATTCCAGCTTTTAAAATTACACATTCAGACTGTCCCTTGAAAGATGCTCCTGTTCCTTCCCCATCATTTGTGGTCGCCGACAGTGCACACTGAACAACAAAGTCTGACACATTTACGTCATTCTGTTTAGAAATAACAGTGGCAAGCCAGTGAAAAAGGCTAAAGTGCACAGAGGTTGCTGGCCTTGGTTGGTCTAACTGCCTCTTCCCCACTGCCATTAGAGCCTTAGTGATAAGCCGATACACACAGTCATTTTGCAATACGACTATTGCAAGAAAGACGTCAGGAAATGGTTTCAGTCTGCCTCACTTTTCAAATCCCTTAAGTGTGCAGGGACTATTATTTCAACAGGAGACGGTGTTGTCCTTCGCTCTATAAATATCTAGCCGTCTCGTCTACCCTTTGAAATCGTTCCAAAGAGGAGAAAGGATCAGGTAGGAGAAAGAAGGAGGAGAACCTTAGGAATTCCGATACTTCAGAGTAGTGACAACAGCAGAAGGTGTATCAGGAGAGTATGCACGCAAGTTCATCGAGACTACTCCTCAGAAAGGAGGGAAAACAACAAACTCTATACTGTTAGCTATACATCTTCGTTCCCAATCGGTTCTGCTACAGAATTTTCGAAGCTGCTCTCTCTGACTCTGATATCTGAGAAACTGAAAATTCATACAACTTCACTCATGGTCGGTCACTGTTCTAATGGTCACATGTTTTTAACGATCACGACACATAACTTCATACTACTTATTCATGTAAGAACAGAGGTCCCAGTGCATGTCTCAGATTAGAACCACGGATGCAAGCTCAAAGATTTCGCCTAGTTTCGAGCTATTTTTCCGTCAGACTTCAGACTTGTGCGTTGAGATCCTACTCTGCAGGAGCGTTTGTCTCGATCTAGGAACTCTGGTAACTGGAAATAACATTGTTTTTGAGGGTCGCAATCACTAAACATGGTCTTGACTCGCCGTACTGAGGGTAAGAACAGAGTCGGATTTTATGGTTTTGAGCGACTGGTTGACCCGTTACAAAATGATCGGTCGTCGAGCGTCGACCCAATGAACGACAAGTATAGTCCACAGTAGCTAAGTGCAAAGAGGTTTCTGATTGTCTGCTGAGCGCTCTGCGCCCATGCTTTGCATCCACGACGCCAGCACACTGTCAAACAGCTTGAGTATACTGTATGGATTTCCTTCATGAAAGTAAGAGAGGGAATTGTATAGAAAGGTTCGTAAATCATGGCACTTTGTGTATCAATGGAACCAACTTTATACAGATGATTAATTTATCAACAGAAAGGAAACCACATAGTGGAACAGAGTGCCAGGGATAAGTCGTAGCGGAGGTCGTCAACCTCGTCTGGTGAATTAATCAGCATGCATTCATGTCAAAGATTTGGAGCAGGAATGATCAAGGATATTTGTGGGGATTCCGTCAATCACAAACAAAGCTGCGCCCAAAGTTCGTCGTTTAAAGGCAGCTGGAATTCGACTGAGGTAGGTCGAATGGAATGCACTAGGACAAACAAGGTGGCACACGTGATCGTTGATCCTCTTCCTGACAAAATGGTTTCCCAACACAATAGTTGGGAAGGTCGTACGGTCGTGGTCTTGCTAAAAGGAACGGGGTTAATCAGGTGCGAGAGAGTGAACGGAGTGGATAATGTGCCGTCGAGGACAGGGAATGCTCTTGAACTCAAAAGAACTGCCTCAAAAAAACTGCTTCGAGAGGAGTAGCAGAGAAGAGCTGTTCCTGGAGTCAGACGAAAGTCATGTTATTTAACTAGAGTTGGGAAATGGAACGAGCAATGATTAACTCAGAGGGTGGTGTTTAACTAATTCCCAAGAGTGTATCAATCCTATTACACTTAATGTGTTATATATACTTATTTTTATGTATAAATATATCCTATAATTTTTAGAGTGTCTGTAGGTGTGTGTGTCTGTGTATCGAAAGCACCGTTCACGATAATTTTGAGGTACAAGCCTTTATTCGGAAAGCGGAAGTATAGATTGGGAATAGTTCATCGGTAGTAAAGGAAGCGAAAGAGTTCGCCGATTTCGAGAAAAATATGGATCCTCAAAAGTAGGGAAAATAGAGGTTGGACGAGATTGCCATGGCGGAAATAACATGAAAGGGGTATTCGGACGAGATTCCAGTTTTTGCAGTTGCACAAAGATCTGACTGCATCAAGCCAGAACTGTACAGAACTGTCTTTCATTGTCGCTATGAGTCATGACAAGTTGTTTGAACTTCCTACATGGGTTCCTTTGTGATCGGTGCAGCCTCTACAATGCCGGTGAAACTCGTCCGAGGGTACACACGGGCCAACCTTGGAGCCTTTATAACTCCCCAACTAGGCCGTTTTCCGACCTAATAGTGCTAGGTATGCGTGATATACGCGGGGGTCTCAAATTCATCCTGTGAGCGATCTCAGAAACCATTTTTATCGTGAGCTGTGCCTTTAACCAGAGATACATTACTCCTGTTCCCATAGAAAGATAGCGTTCAAATTTGGTAAAATTGCAGGCGGTAGCACTGGAATGTTGATGTTAGATGGCAGGACAAAACTTTGTCCACAGGGACGGACCTGTACTTGTTGAATCCGACCTGGACTTAGTTCAAATATGAAGTACAGGCGGCTAGGTGACGAATTACAAAAATGTTAACACCTGCTGAAAGGCGATACTGTTAGCCAATAGCGACAATGAGAGGTAGTTCTATACAGTTCTTGCTATATGTATGTATTCAGCTCTTTGTGCCGTTGCAATAACTGAAATCTCATTCGAATACCCTTTCCATGTTGTATCCGTCATGGTAATCTCGTCAAACCTTTATTAGCTCTACCTTTGAGGGCTTTGTTTTTATCAGAATCGGCGAATTTTCTCGCTTTCTTCACCTCCGATGAACACCCTACACTCACTCCCACCCTACACTTCCGCTTTTTGACTAAAATTGGTATTTTAAAATTATCGTGAACTGTGCCTTTAACCCACGACAGAAAACTTTTTTTCTGGAAAGTGTCCAGCTGGCCACTGAGCTCTCCCACTCAGAATGAAATGCACAGGTTTGAAATGCTATCATGTTAAGGAATATTCGGCGGCAAGGCAAGGCAGGCATACAGTATCGCTCAAAAGTCTTCGGTGGAATGGTTCTTCAGCCGTACTTTTCGGTCGTAACTCCCTTCCTNTGTGTAGCATGGGTGTATTGTGAATATTTACCACTATTAACTTGCAATCTGAGCATGATCCAGATATTCCAAAGAGCTTGAACTCAAAATCGACTGAAAATACAGATGATGGTCTTTCTAGAGTCTCTTTCCTTTTTCTCACGTCTGAAGTGTACGAGCGGTAATGCCAACTTTACATTTAGCAAAATCTGCTACCGTAAGAAATACCTTACGCTGTCTATGGATATTGCAGCTTTGCGGTCAAATAGTGTTGGGTAGAGTGAAATATGCTCAAGTTAGACATATCCAAATTTCGCGCGATTTGTTCTATTAAGAAAAAAAGTTATGAACGAAAAAGCATCAAAGCATTCCACCGAAGACTTTTGAGCGCTACTGTATATGTATAGCCGCATTGTTGGACATCCCCTGGCTAAATACTTGCAGGTATTGCTTATGGCGTGCGTATTTGATAAGAAACATTCGCGTAGTCGACGTCATTGTAGCTTATCGCTTTCTTGCAATGGATAGTCGCAGTCGAGCAAAGTTCATGGTACATATGCATGCTCACTATGAATAGATTATGGTAAAGCTTTATTATACTCAGTAGTAATCGGTAAAACTTACCCCAGATGATGAAAACTCCTTTTACTATTTACTAATTATTTATTAGACCTGTCAGAGCTTTATCTGTTTTTCACATAGATAAATCATTTTCTAATCAGGTGCTGCCATTACTACCCGTTGTGATGGCAACCTACGGGCTAGTCGGCATGATCTCTCCTGATGCCATACTGCGCCCCCCCCCCTCCCTTTTCCTATGATGCCCTTTTTACTCAAGACAATTTTACTCTATTATTGGTACAAGTAAACGTCACCAACGTCACCACATTACCTTCATTACTGGGAATCAATACAAGCTATTTCGTTACCTTTCACGGAGACTATACTGTAGGCGGTGATTTGGAGACCTCGCTCTTCATCATTTCAACGCGATAAGGTGACGCGTAGCAAAGAATTATCACCCAATGTTGCGGTTATATAGTGATGATTCTTCATTCCGCTCAAAAAAATCGCTTCTCAAAGTCTTGGAAGCTTCTCCTACTTTTACTACTACGTTTTACAACATTTACAGTATGCCTCATATTCAATCATATCATCATATTCATATATCTCTTCAATTATTTTCAGCTGACCATGCTGGTGTTCAGAAACATTTCCTTGTATTTCGAGCATTTTGCACCTTAAAATTCCGACGTCGAGCTTCGTTAGCTTACGTATATTCATTTCCAACTAAAATACTGATCAACTAGTACGGTTTCGACGAAGTTCTATGAAAACTGTTAGACATGGTAAGCAACAGCAATGGAATGCTCAAAACGTTTTCCTTGCTGAACATGATTCCTTGCTGACTTGGAGCCGGCATTCCTGCTGTATAAATACTTCCCCCACTTTGCCTCTTATTGTTCAAAGGTGAAGGTAGTGTAGTGGCAAGTAGTGCACTATCACACGCACTCAGGTGTTCAAATCCCGGATCGTTATTCGCTCAGGCTAATCAAGCCTTCAATCACTCCGGCGTACCTGTTATTCAGTTAACTCTTGTGGGTGGATGGAAGCACTGACTTGTACATTGGCTGGCCACCGCAAGTCAGTGATAGGCCCCATAGGCATTCATCACGCCACTACGATTCTGAATAAAGTCGAGTGCAAGGGCGCATCCCTCAGACGGGATTGATCAACGTTAAAAGACATTTATCCTTTTATGGTTCAAGTTGGGGAAGGATCCATTCTACTCTGTTTTGCCTCCTCTGACGCAAAGGGGTGCAGTGTTGCCAGCGACGGAACTCCATCTGAATCATTATTGAAGAAATAATTCTGAACTAGGGGAACGAGTATTTTAACCGAAGCCAATATAAAGAGCGACTCTTCGATGGGTGGAAAAACACTTAGGAAAAGTTAGTGTGGTGTAGGGTTGGTTTGTTAGGCCCTATTCCGGTGGAAAAGAATGTAGATGGGAAAACGGGTAGCTGCTTCCTGGCACCACTCTAATTCCCCAGTATTAGATATAAAACAATCGTAGAAATGGCACTGTACATTGGCATGAAGTTTACTGCTCATGACGACTTTGCGACTTTCGACCGACGATCTTTAGACCTTCAATAACGGAAGGGGTCATTGAGAATCGGAACAAAGTGAATTTTCATGTTGGTCTACGCCTTTGAAGGTTGAACACGACTCGCCAAAGAAATTTTCTCGAACAGCCATCTAAACCAAGCGTACCTTAGAGTAGGTCTCCGGCAACGGGTTAGAGACCGGTTTCTTTGTGAGTATACCGCTACCGCTACGCTCTATCATCTACGGGGAGCGCAACTAAGCCCTTTTGATTCGCTCTGCTGTTTACTTTGAAAATGCTTATTCAATCATTAACCGAAGCAAATTCGCTACTGAATAATTCGGACGAATCGTTAGGACTTTTTTCTTTTATTAGATTTCCTCAAATATGTTCAGGAACATCGAGTATGATTTAGAGCACGAATGTTCCAGTTCTTCGCTCGTAGGCTTCGAACAGAGTGTGTTGCGGAAAGCTACTTATCGGTTACGTAGATGATAACAGCGCGAATGCGATCGGAGGAAAGATGAGAAAAGAGCCAGCTGCTACTTTAAAGAACAGAATGAGAAACAGTCAACGACCAATATTCCGGAGAAATGTTTCGGATTCCCCTTGTTTCGAGTTCCAGTGCTGTGAATATGTCATAGCGTTTTAGCTTCTTTCAATCTAAATCATTTCATTTTGAATTGATATCGTGAGGGCCCTGTGCAGATGAGTGTGAGCTACGATAAATGTTCGCTTGCTTGTGTGAATAGAAACATGTCCTCATCACTATTGGAGAGATTCCTGGTATTAGAGCATTACGAAGGGCCGAAAATATTCTACATGTTTCCTATATATTTTCTCTTTTGATCTATCGTGAACCTAAAACATGAAGTTTAGTTTCTATTTAACCGACGTATACGGTAGCTCACGATCCTCTTTTTTCTTCTCAAGAAAGTAGAGTCTGTATCTATACATTCTTCTAATTTCTTGTATGTGCGGAATATTTTCGAATTAGCTTTGACACGATCTGCTTATTTTTCAGAAACGTCTTCGACAAATGTGGGTCATCGAATACTCCTGAGAGGCTAAGGAATTCGACAGCACGGATTTAACTTACAATTAGAACCCTTCTCCAGTACTAGAGGCCACTCGAGTTTGGGAATCAGGGCAAGAAGTCGAACCGATTTTGTGCTTGATTTATCATTCCACTCATCCTGTCTGTGTTATCTAGCCCAATGTTTTCCAGCGGTTTCTCCGTGAAATGATGCAAATGAACAAAGGGCTGGAAAACAAGCCGGCCAATTGAAAGGCTTTCCACATATTGACAACCCCCTTCTCCTGAGCTTTTCGGGGCAATCGATGATAAGTTCATTAGCATGACGGCTAAAACTTCGACAGGACAGCAACTAACCTAGCCCATGTTCTATCCAAACTCCTACAGTAATGCGAGGGATGATCTACTTTGTGTCAGTCGTAGGATAGTTACGTACTACACATTCTACTCTACGACTTTTGTTATTTCAACATTCTTGCCTAGAACGTGGTGATAACGTGATTCGTGACCCTTTTCTCTGTGTTTTAGGGGAGGTTTACTTTTCCCTGTTGATATAGCGTTTCTGACATTTCTGAAACTTACGTCTGGATTGGCATTCCTGTGATAGTGCACACTCCTGGAAGGCATAGGGTCTTTTTCCTTTCTACTCAGTTTTCGATAACAGAATACTACTAAACGAAAAAGGAAGAAGTCCGATGCCAACGATAAAGAAGCATTTTCACAATAACGTTGACCAAACTCCAGTTTTAATAATCAGCGCCAATTCATATTCCTGTTTGTTTGAGCTCGCCATGCCGATTGATTATTGATTGTTCCACCGGTGTTTGATCCAGTACATGTTGTTATTCTTTCCTTCCCAACCGTGTTTTTCCTGTTTTTGTGCCTCAGTCCACAAATGCAAAGGTATCGCTTTTTCTACTGACCCCTTAGTCCAGCACGAAGGCTGTTGCTCTTTATTTGTCTTGGAAAAAGCATTGGTGAGTGAATTCACTCAGTTCTTCCAAATGGAACAGGTTTCCTGTTCACTTAAGGTGGGCAATTGTATAAATTAACACGCCATTCAAGCAGACATAAGTGTGTGTGTCGACCATAAGCCAACGCATTGCAAAGAGCAAGCTAGTAATTTCGACTGGAGGCGTTATCTGTAGCACAACGGCCACACTACTGGTTAGATGATGTGGCGGAAGACATCAGTCAACGAGTTTGGGAGGTTCTCATTTTTCTAAAAGGAAGTTTTCATAAATTCTATTCAATGTGATTGTGTTGAATACTGTTGTGGCTCCTCCAACTTATCGACTTCTTTTTCTAGCCGCATATTTTTAGTTGTGTAATAGTTTGTTCCATTGCGTATCATTCCACCAACGTTGAATCCTGCTGCCATACCTTCCTCTGTAAACCCTGTCGTCGTGCTTCGCACCTCTTTTCAGTGTCGTATGATGTAGTGCTTGAGGCTCTTTCCAAATGGGTTCGATTTGAAGCAATAGGGTTAGGGCGCTGACCTCTGATGTACTTAGAGCTCTTGCCTTCTTGTCTGACTTCAGAAATTGTTAAATGCAGCTTCGCCCTTCCAGAATAATGAGTCCATTGTGGTCCTATGGCGACGGATTGTTACGAACGACGACTTCTGAACAGTAATGCCTGAGGCTCCCATTCAGATAAAGGCGAGAGTGTGGCGCTGAGAAGATCAGAGGATCGCCTGGACTTGGGAAACGAGGGCATGCAATCTCTAGGAGATTTGTGGAAAAGTGGAAAGAAATCATCAGAAATTATGCTTTTTGAAGTAAAGGGCAAGACAGATCTCTCCCATAACATCTTACATATCTTTTTGGTAACGTTGATCTCTTGACTTCCCCATGTTTCAGCTCAAGTTCCCAGCCTCTTTTCATCCGCACTTTACCCTCTGTCCGCCACACAGGATCGGCTTCGTTACTACCCCAGGGATTTTTCTTGGAGAAAAGACTCTGTCACGTTCTTCTACTAGATAATTGAAATACTTGCATGGCAAGTGCAATATGTTAGAACTTACACACTGCTGACTTTACGTGTCGATATATTTCAAACCTACGACCCTGATTTCGTTTACAGGAAATTGGTTTTGCTCGAATTCATGTTCGTTTTTGGTGTAGTTCTTATCAGTTCCTACTTAGGAAGGATGCTTGCAGTTACTTCTCGCCGCTTTTTTCAACTCTCAAGTGTCGCAATGGCAGCAACCAATGTCTATCAGTTCAAGGTGAAGGACGCCGACGAGAAGGAAGTTTCATTGGATAAGTACAAGTGAGTAGCTTCTTTTACTGGTGTAAGCCTTCCGAGCCTTCCAATAAACAGTTAGAAAGTTTGCGCTTCTCCAAATCTTAAACCTGATTCCATTAGGAAAGTTCGACAATTACTCCTTCTGTTGGTAATGCCAACAGCGATTACCTGCTTTTTGAGATTCAAGAATGAGTCGATGGACTCGATTCGCCCTTTCATTGAGTTTTCTTGTTAGCGCAATCTTCAAACTTCTTTGGATATGAGGGAGATTAACCTTACGCAGTGGCCGCCCTCAGACTTTACGGTCTCCACGGGCAAAAGGCGATAGACGAACAGCGATTGAGTCGATGGATATCCCACAGGTCATCAACCCTGTGATGTCAATATTAACTAGTCGTACATTTCTGATGAAAGTATGCTCATAATAGAAACGTACGACCTTCTCGGTCGCAAATTTTGCAAGTGAACTTCGCTTTTCTCATAGATATTTTTAGAGGGAAAGTCCTCATCATTGTAAACGTCGCATCTCAGTGTGGTCTGACAAACTCCAATTACACGCAATTCAAAGAGCTTCTTGATAAATACAAGTCGCAGGGATTGGAAGTGGCTGCGTTCCCGTGTAATCAGTTCGGTGGACAGGTACGGATATTGCATTATTTTAGTGTGTTCAACCATGCAGTAGTGAATGCACTCAGGAACCAGCCTGCGAAGTTGATATCAAGAACTTCGTGGCAAACAAATTCAACTTTGAGCCTGATCTCTACGCTAAAGTCAATGTGAACGGCGATAACGCGGATCCTCTATTCAAGTATTTGAAGAAAGAGCAAGTTAGTATTTGAAGTTCTCTCTTGTTTCCGAAACAGTGGCTCAGTAGGTGTCTCTTTCGTAGACATAACGTGGATAAGTAGGTGNATAAGCTAAACACACTTTTTTGGGGAAAGAAAATGAATAATATGATTGTGATTGCACTATTCCCAAGCTTTCGAATAGAGCTATCCCCTATTTTTGCAACATCATTATTTGGATGTAATCTCGTATCGATATTGTGTTACTTCTTAGATTTAAATTGTTTTTTTTTTTCAGGGAGGGACAATGTTCGACGCAATTAAATGGAACTTCACAAAGTTTTTGGTGGACAGAGAAGGAAAGGTTGTGAAGAGGTATAGTAAAAGCAGTTGCTCTTTCTCGTTGTCATGCTTATAAGAACAACAAAGACTGGAAGTATAGCGTTTCAGTCTTTTCAAACACCCTTAATGATTTTATCATAATTGCAGATTTGGACCCACAACAGAGCCAAAAGATATGGTGAAGGACATTGAGAAACTTCTCGCAAGTGGCACCACTAAGCTTTAAAGTTGGAAACTTTTCTGCGCATCTATGTTCTTGTATATTCTTCTAATCTTCCGAGTGTACTGTGCTATGTTGCTACGTTCTTATACAAAAAATCTTCTTGGATCAACCTCGAAAGGAGCTTCACCGAAAGGAATGAAGCTTCGCTGAACACTCTTAACGGCTCCGCTTCAACTCCTACATGCCGGGTTCTGCTGCGTGAAAAGTGTAGATTTCTACCTCATGTATTTAACCCTTGCTTCTAGTCTATTCATTAATAACTGACTGTGTGGGCTAGCTGAACTGTAGGATATGACCAACATAAACAATACCAGTATTTTTATTTGGCATGTTTGTAATGTAATCATATTAATTCTTAGCTATCTGTATAGTCAACACATACTGTATCAGATTGTTTATTCTTGTAGCGTTTTATTTACGTTTTGTAATATGTCATCCAGTGCTGTAATTGAGGATTTCTTTGGCTGAATGTTTGAAAACGTTTTAACAAAATGAATCTAATTTGTTTTGTGTTTTCGAGTACCTTCAGGAAGTATCTTTATAGTTCATCAAAACGGTGTAGAAATGTCAGAAAGAAGTACTGAGACTACTAGACATGGTTGTGCTTATTATCGCTGTGACACAATTCTGAGCTCGATCTCAAGATTCAGACCTAATTTGTCTGGATCCGTTTGTGTTTCGACCACTGTGTAAGACTAGCTTAATATGAAGTTTGCGAGTCTAGGCTTCGAATGCAACCAACTGATGAAGGTTTCATCTGATAAAGTTATGTTAATAATTTTAGATTTTTTAGGTGTTAGTAAGAGCTCTCATACCGCCCAACTTCGGAGGTCACATCTGCCAAGTATCACTACATTCGACGTTATCCTCTTCTTCTTTTTCTTCTTCCCAGCGTTGATCCTGCGTCGTCTCCGGGTCGGCTATCCCTGTAAGTTGTCGCCTTCTCCTTCTGTATACGGCAACTCGCCGTGACTTTAGCCTCGGCTGGGTCCTTCTTGATCGGCTCTGCCGGCTCTTTCTAAGAGTTCCTCTAGTCGTTTTCCTTGACCTTCGGACTTCGTTGATTCCATCAGGGCACTGTATTCATAGTTCTATGATCGAATGAAGTAGGGTCTTAATGGTACCAGAAAATTTGACACCTTCAGTTTCATAATTCAGGAGCTACTCCATTGTGTTCCGTTTCTCTTTGCTTTCCACTGTTGTCAATGAATGAAATTCTTTTCGATTATCGAATAGGGTTTGTCTTTCAATGGGCACTCCTTCGTATGTTTCAAAAGAGCCTCAACATAGTGCACGACAAGATAGCTCTACTTCTGCTGAGGGTAGTTTTACAATTGGTGTGGCTTTTGAAGAATTTCAGCCTTCCTAGCCAAAAATGAGCGCGACATCTGTCTCAAACAGCGTTCTACAGAAATCTGAATTCAGCATCCTCCGTGTACTGCGTGCTGTGGCTGCGAGTGCATGGAGCTGCCTACATATCATTGATTCAATGTGATCAATCGGCTCTGTGTCGACAGTTGTAGTGTAATCTACTAGGATAACGTTTCTGGACTCTGTAACATGACTTTCTTCCTTCGCAAACGCCTTTGAATGAAATAGAAAGCTGTTACATGTAACAGTTTACGTGAACATTTGTGGAGACAAGTTGCATGCCACCGATATTTTGAGTCTGTGCTACATTCTTCATGCAAACCTGAGAACAGCTTCGCAGGTGTTTTTGAAATGGAGGAGGCGATTAGTTGCAGAGAGGAAATTCACAGTTGGATCCGCACCATAAAGCCTTGAGGTCGATCTACTTTCTGGAGCGGTTTTAGTTACACAGCTTTAATAGCCCTCCATGAGTGGTGCACGCACACCTTTTCATATAATCAGTAATTAAATTTGTCTGAAATACCTTGGTTCGGTTGTCTTTTCTTAGCCCGGTCGTTAGTCTCACAGCGTTTAGTGGGTGTTTTTCACGGTTATTGTGGGCAATTACTGATTGTACGGGTTTGTTGCGGTGATATTTCGGCAATACAGAGACGTCTCGAAAACTAGCATATCGAAAGTAATTAGAAAGTGAGTGTGTTTTTAAGGGAAAGTGCTACCTAATCGAGTGGTGGAACCGGGTGAGCGCTTCTCCATGAAGGAGCTTTTTCAAGGCTTATTTGGGATCCTCCATGGAACATAATCGTGCCTATTTTGGTTCCATATACATATAACCGGTCACAACTGCTGTATCGAGATTTCCTTACTAGCGTCTTCTCACCGAGTCAGAGTGGGTAGAATGCGCGAATCGTTCGGCCTAGTGTTTGGCATTCTTTGGTTTGTTAGCTATCTCTCGCTTGACTCACTTCGATGTCATCACGGATTTGGTCCTAAATGTTTTGATGCAATGTGGGGCAGTTTCACATGAAAACAAATTATATCGTCATGATGCAAAGTCAAACATGATGATATCAATGTTTAAATCTAATCACTGTCAACATACTCACACCAATGTTTCTGCGGTTAGGGGGGCCTCATACCAAAATCCATAACTACCTACAAGAATTGCATCACCTGCGGGCACTCTTCCGCTTCTCGCAGTAGACTAACTTCAAGGCTATGACAGGACACCGCCTTAGTTCACAGGCTCTGACGAAGGCGAACTCGCCAAACATCACCCCTATGAAATTTGAAGTCTTGAAAAGGCTGAAGCGAGCATCTCAGTAGTCATAGATCATGCCAAGATTAACAGAAGGTCGATCGATGGTGTATTCTACTGCCTAGTTGTATTGCCAGATGCCCACCTAAGTATAACGGTAGCTCGTGTCAGAAATATTTAACTCATGTATTTTAGGTGCCTTTTTTGATAAATGGTGAACAGATGTACCATCATAGATCAACTGAATCAACTTTTCGAACGCTGTGCTACTATTGAAGAACTACCTCACTCGTTCGACGACACACTATTAGATGGCCTTATCGACAGTATTGATCTCAATAGTAAGTTTCGCTATGATTTTCATATAGTAATATCGGGCTACTAGCACTCGTATCTATCATTAGCTCGCTACCAACGGCCTCCTTTAGAAACAGGCGTAATGGTTACCTTTATCACACCCGTTCAACAGACCCAAATGGGGCCGTTAACGTTCGTGGATGTTGCCCCTTTTTCATTGTTCCTTATCCTAGGAGGTCAGATTCGGGAGGAATAAAGTTTATTCCTTATGTGCTTCACTTCTGTAGGTGTACTTGTATAGTCAGTAAGGAAAAAGCTGAACTGAAAAAAGCTCCTTTCCGATGCATGCCCTCAGATTGTGACGGACCCACTGAGCGCGGAGATGTTTTTGTAGTCTGTTGTCATTAAGGTGGACCATGCAATGGAGCAGTTTCGAGCTGCTCAAGACGTTCCTGGTTAGTGGGAGGCTACGATTTAATTGTGCTTCATTTCCTGTTCCTGGGTGGTTATAAAAGAACTCTTTAGTAGTAAACCGAGCACTGGAGCTATGTGTCTCTGCGTAATGTCTCTGCCTCCGTCGTAACATCACTGCTGCCGACCTGTGATGTAGTACAACTAACGTCTCCAGTGAAACAGATGGGACAGAGGCATAGACTTGGGTGATAAAAACGATTAGTTCGATAGGGATTGACAAGGTGCGATGGATTGACGAGGTCTCCGAGTGCGCCATTTCTATAATAATAACAGTGGAAATACTTCGTTTGTGTACACCGTGTGAAGTATGGTGAAGTGTGGGATCGTGGGTCTTCAACATAAATACCTGCGTGAGGAGTGTCCCCCTAAGAGTGTTACCAGCTATCGCAGAATTCTTAACACTTTCCTGTGAAGATTAAGTGCGGAGTGTGGTCAGGGCTGAAGATTACAGGGTACGGGAATAAATTTTCGATCGCACTTAATCAAGCTCGCCTCACACCTAGGCGCGAAGTGACCTTAATTAGGTGCGAAGAGTAAGCTATAATTATGCTGCCCGCACTAGCTACTAATCGAGTTAAAACTTGTCATTTGAGGATGATAATGACAGTTTGAAAAAATAGAGTTTCTCTTTGAAAAAAGAGTTTTTTTTTTTTTGGAAGAAAAAGTGTCAATATCAGTTCCAACGGTTTTGAGAGTTTAATTCCACGCATAATAGATGAATTTAAAATTTTTTGTGACTAAAGTTTCTGTGATATGGGAGAAAACGTTCAATCTCTTAGTAATAAGAATAACTAAAATAAAA